ACATGCCGGATCACAGTCCCGCCGTGCGCGAAGGCCGACAAGCGTAGGGCGAGGACCCGTCCATCGCCGCTTGCGGCTTTAATTGTATTTATATTTGTAATCAGCTGGGGAAGTTTAGTTCAAGTTTATGCTCCATTCACCTGTAGTATTTTGATTTAAACTGTTGACGTGTGGTGCTTAATACAGTGGAAAGTTGTGTGTCTCACTCAAAATAATAGAAAATCAAGTTGGGAGTAATTAAAAAAAACAAAAGTCTCACCTTTATAGTGATCTATGCACGAAAGGGTTGGATAAGCGATGGGTAGTAAATAACTTACAGGTGTTGTAGTTGGTCAAAACAACAGCTTAAATCATATCCTGCATTCCCTTCTGCCCGTGTTAAGTGAGTGTTTTGCATGTGCGGCGGCGTGTCCTCTGCCAGCGCCGCAGCACCCTGCATGCCAGTGATTCCTGCCTATAGGTCAGGGATTTTCACTTGGCTGGGGCCACCAGTTGGGTCCCTGCCTGCTTCCTGCCCCCTGCGCCTCCCTCCGCATCGCCTCTTGTGCCACAGCTGTAACGCTACACCGGCCAACCTGCACTAAAATAACCCCTTTTGTTGGAAAAAGTATTTGATTTCACCTCATCAACTCGATACCTGTGAGAGTTCAAAATAGACCAAGTTTCCTACAAGTTGAACTCCGTGATCGCTGTCTTTGAGAGTCGGAAAGTCAATATAAAACTTGTTCTAAATTAAGTGTTTGAGGTTTCCAGACTCCAAAACTTCACTTGGGGGAATTCTTGGGTGAACACAGCAGATCTTTTCATTACAGAATCAGTAGAATCAGGTTGCCCCCCCTTCTCTTCCTCCCTTCATTTGCACAGACATTTAGTGCTGTAGTGGGACATCTGTGGTACAAATCTGATTGGCCTGGTCAGGGGAATGCACATGATGGGATAAATACGCCAAGGTAAGCTTTTACTCGGGCATCTCGGCAGACAAATTGTCCTGATGTGATTTAGGAAAAGATGCTAATGCGGTTACCCGGTCGCATCCAGCCTCCAACATCTCGGCTGGCTGCCCGTTCCTCAACCTGTATCGCCGAGCCTCATCTCCAGGTCCAGACTCAGTTCTGAGGGGCTTCATTAGGACACAATGAAAAGCTGAAAAACCCCCCCATCGCCATGTCTGAGAAACAGCAAGAGTTCACTGTGTGGTCTGCTCGTCTCACGCAGCACTTTGCAAAGAAGCTGCTGACAGCATCTTTACTTCACCTGATAGATATCTGTAGTTTTTTTTTGCTCTGAGAGAACATCAATAACATCTCCATCACTGTCCATTGGCTTTTTGCAATCACAGGTCAAAGCTGCTGCGCAACGTTTAAACTTGCAGAGTAAATGATTTTAAATTCCTCCTTTTTTAAAATTTATTTTCATTCTTTTTAAAATTGTCCACAACTACTGTAAAAATCATATCAGAAAAATGAAACACAATGTTAACTACCCCGGTCACAGTGCATACTACACTTCACAAAGCCTTACTTACAGTACGGTACCACATGCATGTTCCAGCATCGTTGTGCATACGCGCTAGGTATAGGAGAGAGAGCACAGCAGCACAGACCACAGACACAGACATTTAACACAGTTTCCAGCTTTGTGCATGGCACAGTTCATCTCTATACGGTTTGTCATACACACAGTACTCGGCTACACTCCGACTGACGTTTCTTAAGACACCTGCTATGCTGATGAATGCAATGATGATTTACAAAACAATGTTTGGCAAAGTGGAAGCATTTCACACCCATAAGCAGATTTTCACAAGCATGCGGACGCAATATATTAACAGTCTTTATCTTTTGATTGCTTTTGTACAAGAATCACTTTATAATACATCTTAGTGTAGCTGAGAAAAAACGTCTCCCTTGGCACTGCGACTCATTACAGTAGCTTATGGAAAATGTCAGCTTATATCGGCATTTTTCAGACTACATCTACACTGTTAAGTTTACGGTTTGAGTTTCTCTGTTGCTGTATATAGTGTAAGACAGAAAGACTGGATAAAGAGGTATCAGAGTAAATACAGTAATGACCATAGAACAGACTGGAATTTGAATTCCTCCTCCCTCCCCAGCCCCACCCCAGCCCACTTCTTAGCAGCTACAGCCTCGTCCAGCCGTTCGTGTGCAGTGAGAAAATTAAGAACATAACAGTTTCAAGCCTTTCGCGTACAGTAGATTTCTTTTTCTCACCGAAGCACAGGGAGGATTCTACAGGACGGGATGTGTTAAAGCTTTTGTTCGGGTGCGCCTCAAGAGTACAGTCGCTGCCTTTTCATTTACAAAGAGAGTAAGGGGTGTGTGTGTGAAAGGTGCTGCGTGGAGCTACATTACCTGTGAGTTCCTGAGAAGTGTTTGGATTTATGAAACCTTGTCCTGACTGGATGTCCCTGTCAAGTACAGTACCACCATCATCTAAAGTTTAGAAGCAGGGGGAGACTTCAAGTGTGGCCTCCTGGTTTAACAGTCTCACTCAAATATTACAAGTGCATATGTATGCTGCATATAGTGCACTATAACCACTCCGTCTTTGAACTATGTCTTACTATGCACCTTTACATCTTCTTGATATTGAGAGTATACAGTACGAAAGTTGTTGTGACAATAATGAGTAAAGTGATAGGTTACATGCTTGAATAGTGACAGCTGCTGCCGTGGTCTCAGTAATCCCACCCCCTCATGCACTGTCATTCACACTGCAGCAGCAATACCTGTGGCCACGGCTCTGGATGTCCCACTGCCTCTCTTTTCCCCAACAGTAACTGGGTCAAACGTTAATATGCCCCAGCTACTGTTCCTCTGCAACATCTCCCACTTAATTAAGTCTCTCGCATGGCTGTCACACAACTGTTGCATTCAAGAGGCTGGTTCCGGTCCAGTCGGGGCATTTGGCGAGGAGGCCAGTTTGGGAAAATCCGGCTTTGTTAAGACAGAGTGCAGGTGTGGATTCTCACCTTCACTGACTGACTCTGTAACTCCGGGAGCTACGTGGCATCTCAGCAGCAACACAAATGAGTTATATGTTTGTTTTGTTTGTAATAAGTTCTGTTCTCGCTTTTTTTTTGTCGTTGTAGAATCATCGGCTGCCTCCTCCGTCACAGTCTCTTGCTTGTTGTTTCTTTATTTGCGTGAAAAATATTCCCGTTGCGTGTCAAGCGAACGACACGCAGAGGATCCTGCTGCGCGGTCCAGACTGCTCCTCAAGTGAAGTATTTGCAGTTTGTGGAGTCGATGACGCAGCGCGGGGTGCACTTGAGGTGACCGTATGACCTGCAGGAGAGACAACATTCGGTCAGTTTTTACGTCTCTATCCGTCCATGCTGCAGCACAAGACTGTGTCCACATACGCTGTTGGTATTTACTGTGCTTACCCTGGAAGATATGAGTTACATGTCTGGTATCCAAAGTCTTTTCCATCACACTCCTCAGCCCCTTCATAGCGGTATCCGTCTCCACAGTAGGCGTGTTTACACTCTGTGGTAAGGGGAGACAGCAGGGATGTGGGCTCATGTTATATGTGCACAGCAAAGTACGACCGAGTGGCTATTAAAGAGCATCAAACACAGATACGTGACTTACTGACACAGCCGTCGGTGACAACTCTGTTCCTGTCATCGCACTCCTCCCCGTTGGTGATCTGCACTATCCCGTCACCACAGTAACCCTCATCATCAGGCGCATTTTCCATGGACTGGAAGGGTGTCAGCTGGAATGGAAAAGTCTTAAACAGAGGTTGACACACTTGAGTAAGGAGGAAAACCAGTTTGAAAGTCAGAATGTGTATTTGAAAGAAAAGAACAGAAGATATGCTACAGCAGGGGTCTCGAACTCCAGTCCTTGAGGGCCGCAATCCTGCAAGTTTTAGATGTTTCCTTCTTCCAACACACCTGATTCAAATGATCAGAATCGTTATCAGGCTTCTGCAGAGCTTGATGATGAGCTGATCATTTGAATCAGGTGTGTTGGAAGAAGGAAACATCTAAAACTTGCAGGATTGCGGCCCTCGAGGACCGCAGTTCAAGACCCCTGTGCTACAGTGTCGTTGCATGCAGTGATACCTGGATTGGCAGCCAGCCGTCGATGTCTTTGAAATAGAGAGATCTCTGGTCTTTTCGGAATGCGAGAGCATTGTCTGTGCGAAGGCGCTCCAGTTCTTCCTCATTGCTCACCACAAAGATCTAAGTCAGAGGCAAGAAGAGAATTTACTGACATGTTTTCAATATTTAGCGCATTTTGAATTATAAAGTTTAGTCCTGTCGGAGGGCAATTCTGAAGCGCTGAACGTCAAAATTTAATTTCCCAGCTGACGGCGTTTGTCTCAGAAGCAGCATCCATCTCCCCAGTAGCTGCGCTTTGATCACCCAGCACTTATTTATTTATAATATCGCAATTAAAATGCAATAAGGCGAGGGTTTCTAAAAGATCACAAGTAAAAACAGCTGTAAGTCTGCATGATATCAGACAATAAACGTCTCTGATGGAGAACAGTTAGATCTGTGTTTTGCAGTGATGTGTCATGTTATGTAATGTAAGCATCTGACTGTAACAAGTCATTATTAATATAGTACATTTAAAACAATAGACACTGAGTCATAATGGTTTCCAGTAGAGAAACAAGAATAATGCAACACATTTACCCGCCAAGTTCAAATATTAGGGTTAAGATCCTACAGTATTATTTGTAATACAAATTTACCCAACCAATTTACATATACATGGTAAGATCCTGCAATGCTGTTTGTTATTTAAATGTGCCTGGCTCATTTAAATATTAAAGTTAGGCCCCTATAATAAAGCAAAACAAATAAACAAATACATACAATACAAATGTGTGTAGCAACTCTACAAAATTATTTATTGTACATTTAATTGACTAACTAAAATTAAGGTTAGGACCCTACAATAGTATCGTTAGCCTCATAGCATAATTGCCTAAGTCATTTTTTGGCCAAATTGAGATATTTGCTTAACTTAACTCTCCTATCACTTCTGCATCATCCTGTCTTTCTACCTATGTCATTGGCCAATCACAGCACCTATTAGAATCCAAAAACACTATCTGCCTAAGTCATTTTTTATTTGTTAGACAATTGATAATGGGTCTATTTCTTTTTGCATATTTGTTCACACATCTGGTTGAATGTACTGTTAAAAAATCAATTCTAAATACCAATGTAATTTCTAAAAATTGTGTTTTTTCTTGTTTCGCAAAAACATGAAAATATGACTTAGGCAAGTATGCTATGAGGCTAACGATATATATAATACAAATTTGGCTAAAAGGTTTAAATACGAAGGTTAACACCCTACAATATAATTTAAATGGACCTAACTAATTTAAATATTAATGCTAAGATCTTACAATGATTTTTGATACACATTTACCTGACCAATATAAAAACTAAAGCTAAGAACCTGCAATATTATTGAGCTTAAACATTTAACTTTCTAATATAAGTCGTGGGGTGAGGACCCTACAATGTTATTCATGATACACATTTACCTGACCAATATAAAAACTAAAGCTAAGAACCTGCAATATTATTGAGCTTAAACATTTAACTTTCTAATATAAGTCGTGGGGTGAGGACCCTACAATGTTATTCATGATACACATTTACCTGACTAATTCAAAAATGAAAGCTCGGACCCCACAATGTTATATATCGTCTATATTTACCCGACTAATATAAATATTATGGTGAAGACTATACAGTTTTATTTAATATATAAATTGACCTGACTAATTTAAATATTAGGTTAAGACTCTTCAGTATTATTTATCAAAGAAGGTTAAATACTAAAGTTAAGACTGTACAATATTATTTATTAAACACATTTACCTGACTAATATATAAAAGTAAGGTTAAAACAATACAAAGTTCTACATCAAAAAACCCAAGAAGCCACCGATTTTTTGCAAGCACTTGGCGAAAATACAAGACGAGTCATTCCTCACCGCCGGTACTTTGGGATAGTTTCCTGTGGAGGTGTAATCATCAAAGGGAGAACCGCTGAGAGAGCTGCAGCTACACTTTCCAGGAGGTCCCGGTGGACCACGTGCTCCCTTCGTTCCAACCATGTAGACGCCTACACGCATACAGAGAAGAAAACAAACATAAAAAGACACAGAGTCAAGCCGAGGCTGCACATATAGAGGAGGGTAACAGAATAAAGCAGGTTTACGGAGCTGAAGGTGAAGAGTTGTTGCCAGTTCATTCTACAGTAGCTGCTACAAACACCATATGTCATTAAACGTTTGATTCATCCATCAAGAAGCAAACACAATCAGCTTATTTCCCACACAAACCAGATCAAGACAACAAATGTCACTTTAATTACGTGGTGACATAATATTTGTAAAAGTGCAGGGAGACCGGCCATCTGGGAATCCATTTTAGCCACATGATGTCATGATGAGAGCATCCTGTTTCAAGTGGGGAGATAAGATTTCTCCGGTGCTAAATACGACGGCCGGCGTTACCTCTTGCACCGGTCTAAAGTGTGCTTCCTTTTGCTGACGGGGAAGTTTGCTTCCCCTCTCAGTGGGTGCACAGCGTTTCACACACTCTCACAGAACGGAAAAAGAACCGACTGAACAACATGTCAGTTTTTCAAAACTCCTCGAGGGCTTTGAATCTGCAGGGAGTTTTTTTTTACCTGTGGCAGGTGAACCAGGAGGACCGGGGTGACCTGGAGTTCCCTGTGGGCCCGCTGGTCCCATCGGACCCACGTTTCCTGGGTCTCCTTTCATCCCCTAAAAACAAAAGAAATACAAGGTGGTCAGATTTATAACATTTCCTTTGGAAATGTTTAAAGAGTTTTTTCTCTTTATTTTGCACAACAAAACAAAGCACAACAATAAAAGCACATTGTACAGGTGAGACTAAAACAAATAACCCACAGAAGAAATCGTACCTCAATACGCACTATAAGCAAATGGAAAAGTCATGAATCCACACACATAAGTAAGCAAGAAAACAAAGTAGACGAGATAAACTGTTGGCACATTTTGTGTTGTATGGATATTTATTCATATCATGCATATTTATTTAAAATATAAAAAGACTGCATGTTGCGCTGATTTAAAAAGAGGGACAGAGAGGTCACTTCTATGAAACTTTTTTAAGTTTATGGGGGCAGGTTCAATCAGCACAACCCAAACTGATATTGCCAAATGTAAAGCAGGGACAAATTGGGGTATAATAACATGCATCAGCACTTCTGATGAACCAAAGTTCAGGATTTGGACACTATTTTGCAAAAATACTGTTCCAGCTTAGAGTTTCATCAGTCAATAGGAAAAATGTGCATGAGACCTCTGCAACTGGGTTGTCTCCAATGGAGAGACGAGTTAGATTCGTGATATTTTTTTTCTTTTTTTCATGTAAATTAATGTCTTTTTTTTTTTTTTTTTAAATTTAAAGATAATTAACTTAATTTGAACCATCAGTTCTGAGTGTACAATGTCACATTTTGAACACTGGTCAACTTTTGGGATGCACATAAGAGGAACTATTTAAATGAAAACAATTATTTACTTTGCAAAACATTTATAAACGTATTTGCGTGTTTGCTCACGTACACATAAGCACAAAATAATGGAGTCTCATGGAGTTTTAATGCTTCTTTCTGCTTTGTCAAATCCTCTTCTGTGATCTTTACTGCATGTTCTTAACTTTGCCTGTATGTTCTCCCTAAAACATCCTTGCAAAAAAATGTGTTTTTCTGTGAGCAGATGCCCACTTGCATGCGCCTTGCACCACAAACTGCTCACCTGCTTGCCTCGCTTTCCTGGTCGGCCCGTGGGTCCTCTGTTTCCTGAGATTCCAGGTTCTCCTTTTGGACCCATTTCACCCTGCAACACAAATCTGATCAATTCGAAATTCAGGGGATAAGTGGTGTAATTGTGAAGCCAAAACCCCTGCATGCTTGCTTGCTTATTTAAATGTGCTACTTACTTTTTGTCCAAGCATCCCTGGGAAACCCATTGCACCCTGTGGATAAAGAGCCGTCAATTATACCAACTCAGATTTTACACAACATATGTAGCCTACATCTGACACACTCTACTTACTTTGTCTCCTTTCACTCCGTTCTCGCCGCGGTCCCCTCGAGAACCCTGACGGAGCACAAAACAGTGATGATTTTTAGATGTTAATCTCTGTGTTTCGTACTAAATAGCAATTACTAAAACGGCCACATACCTTCTCCCCTTTATACCCAGGTAATCCCTAGAATGAAAAATGGAACAAGATGAAACCCAGAAGTGCCAAAGTGACATCATTCCACATCAGTCTAGTTAATAAGTAGATGTTACCCTTGGCCCAATTGGTCCTCTGGCTCCAGGCAAACCCATCAGCCCCGGGTCACCTTTCTCACCCTGCCACAGATTAAAACATTAGGATTAAGATGGAGCGGATTGGCTACATTTTTAAAGCACATCCCCCAACCCAAGGAGCAAACCATTAATGCAGATTTTGAACTTAGAAAGCTCTTATTTTTATTACAATCAAGCATCCACATAGAAAAGGTTGTTGGGTTGTTATGTAACACAGTATTTCATTGTACAGGACTGACTGTAAATCATACCTACACTTTTCTACACTGGTCTCATGTGATCCCTCGTTTTATATGATCCACATTATGAGGTCTGACTTACTCACTTTGGCCCCACTTGGTCCCGGCCATCCAGCTGATCCCTGTTTCCCAGGAAGTCCAGGAGGCCCAGTCCGACCCTAACAGGAGGCATCAATTTTAACACGAGCCGAGACGCAGAAATACCTCATAAAAACCCAATAAAACAATTACTGCCACAGCTGAAGGAGCAGTTAGCTCCTTATGAAATCAGGGCCTCTTGTGGCTGTTTTGTTTTGCAGCTTTAAAAAAAAAGAAGAAGAGAGAGGGAAATCTAAGTGCAGTATTTGCTGCATTAGCTGACAGGCAGCTCGCCACGGTATTTATCAGACGCTGCTGCACATGTAGGGGGAGAATGGCTTTAACGAGCGCTGTCACTTTGCTCTCTTTAATTAAATGATGGGCTGTATATAGAACCGGAGTCTGTGCTTGTGGGAAATAAAATGATTAATGACCTGGCTGAAGCACTAAGCTAAATTGCACTGCAGTGCTGCAAAGCTGCTCGGTCAGGCCACCGGCTTGTGGCGCTCACCCACTGGGCTGCTTTTCCTGCTTACCCACCACAGCAGCTGATCATTTAGGAGGTCACTTCTCTTGTACCCGCACTCATCAAAAACTGTGTCCTGAGCTTTCAATAAGGCCGTGCTCCTAATGGAGAGGGAGGGCCGTCTGGCAGGGAAGGCCTGATGCTGGATAGAGATGCGATACGCTCCTCTTTCTGTGCTACTGGAGACCAGCAGCATCCCTTGGCCATAAAAAGAGCCTGTCTCAGCAGCCCTGCACCCCCCTTGCATCCTGTCAATGTGTCTGCTCTGTCTCCTGTCAAGGTTGCACACAATTTCTTGATGCACACAAGCAGGCAGTGGCAGCGCTCTGACTTACAGCTCGCGAGCAGGCGGAGGCACTGTATCTCATTTTTGAGTAAATCCACTTAGCAAAGAATATGGAGTGATTAATGGAGACTCTCACCTTTTGCCCAGGTCTTCCGATTTCTCCCTGACGACGAGATGTGGAGGAGGGGACAAGGACAGCGGCTGCTTAATACACTTTCCAGAAAGCATTTCTCACTCGTGTGCAACAGGTCAATTTGCACTATAAAAATAATGAACAGAATCAGATGAGACTAAGCCGCTTACCTTTTCTCCTTTAAGTCCTGCTATCCCAGGTAATCCAGGTGGACCCTAATAAACATAAAAAAGAATTAAATATATCGTAAATGCTCATAAATCACACAGATAACCATCTAAATTAGTTTTATTGTCCACAACATCCCACTGCAAAGTCACGACTGCTTCTGGGAGCCCACAGATGCAGTTTCAATTAGCTAAAGGCTGAGAGGCCCCCGATTGATTTAAAGAGTGCCCTGTGGGTGTCTTTTCATTTAACGTTGAGATGCTGCTGCAGTCCAGCTGGTGCAGCCCAAGATGAGCAACGAAAGCTTTAACAGTGATTTGTAAAATCTGCTTTTTGCTAATGAAACATTGGATTAGAAGCACCAATTGGACCCAAACGTCTTTATGTCTTTCATCAACAGCGAACACAAACACATGGACACATGCGTGTGTTGGTAATCCCTGGAATTTACGCGACACAGTACGCCTTTCCAAGCAGACAGCTCTTCGGACAGTTTCTGAGAATGATGTGTGGCACACTGGCAGGCAGTGGAAAAAGGCTATTTGTGTCCCAGCTAAATGTGGAGCGTTAATGGGCTGCTGTGTTGCATGGGCCAGAGAAATCCCCATCTCTTGCTCCGCAGGAACTATCAAGTTGGAGAGGATGATGGGGGTAACATGTTGTTGGAGTACTAATTCTTAACATCCTAAATCTACGGAGATCCCAACGTGAAACAGACTGCCTGGGATTGGAACTGATACTGGATCTGGATCTGGAAGTCAAATTGTGGAGGATCTGTTGGAACTGAATACCAAACCTACAGTAGATAGGAAGAGCATGATGTTTGAGGAGAACCTGGTGTCCTACCTGAGGTCCAGGAGGACCAGCAGGACCAGCGGGACCTCGGACGCAGGCAGAACCTTTGCCCTCATTGCCCGACTCAGACTCACCACCATGATGCGAAACGCCTTCATGCTATAAAACAAAAATAAAAATAAAATACTGTATTTTTTTACACTTCTGACAACCTGGGTGAAAAAGCAAAGCTGACTTTTACCGTTCTGGCAAAGTTTGTCAAAGAAGTCTGAAAATCATCCCAATTTCGACAGAACAATTCACAACCTGGTTCTTCCTGCGACCGTCGGTAACCTCATTCGGGGGTCACAAGACAGTGAAGTGTAGGCCTATTTGGACATAACCCAAGGACATATCAACAGTGTGATACTCCACAATAGAAAGTCACATGACTTTGACTCACATGAGCGTGGCGGCGCCAAAGCGAAGGAGGTGGAGGAAACAGTGGGGGTGGAGGCGGACTCAGTAAACAGCATGGGTTGAATCTCTTTTGCTGCTCCTGGGATCTGAGAGCTGTCGTGGAGGTACGCATGCAGTCACAAATTACAGCAAGGAGTTAAAACAGAAGACGAGGTCACGTTTGTGTGCTGTTGAATCCTGACCTCATCATCAACGTGAGAATAGAAATGGTTAATTCATGCATCTGTGTGACAACAAATCCGTTACATGTAGTAAAGACTGGACAAATCAGGGAGGTTTACAAGATGCAGCTTAAGCAACAGGGAAACAGGTGCAAAATATCAAATCATGACACCCATCCAGCAGAATTCCTAGAGCAGATATGAAGTGTCTGTGCCTCTCGCTGAAGGACTGGTCTTGCTATTTATAGAGGCATTTCCAGTCTACCTCATGGGCACCAAGAAAATAAAAACACTGTACGAAGACAACATGAAGCTCAAAAGTAGGCATTTAGAATCCATGCTCTCACAGCCCCTCAGCACCTGTCAATGCACATGTACAGTACAGTACACCCACCTACACACACACACATTAAACACATGCAAGCTCAGGATCACAATATTCCTACCGGCAGGGAATGAAACAAAGCTGTCCAGAAAGGAGGACTGAGCCAGGCCATAGGAAAACCACAGTGGCAGATACAGTCCAAGTGTTAAGAGAGTCATGCTGCTCCAGTTGTAGTTGCCTGACTTTATTTCTGAGCCACAGCAGCCCTCACCCGCTGCCTTTTTCCTCTCCCTCTCTCCTCACCGTCCTCTCCCTCTGCTCCCCTCCCTCTCCGCTCGCTCGGCTCTGTCTCCTTTACGCCCTCAGAAGAGGGTACGCTGACCAATGCCCATTAAATCTTTCCTCCGCATCAGTGTGCGCTAAAATTACAGGAGACAGCCCGCCAGCTGCTTCTAGTGCCAATATTAGATCTCTACTACTGTAGGGGGGTGCCTTTTGTTTTTTACAGTCCTCCGGGGATACATATCAGGGACGAGCTCACAGTTCCTGCAATAGGATTCTGCGCGAAGGGGTTAAAGTGCATTTGTGCATCCTGTGACAACTTTTCTTAACTGCATCAGATTTCAGCCTTTATTGATGAGTGCATCTCTTTTATGCACTACACTGTACATCCTGGTTTCCATATTGATTTTTTACCTTGGCACAAAATTAAACGTCTTCATTTTCATGGAGGCTCCTGAGAGAGCTGTTAAAAAAAAATAAAATCCTGGATATACAGACATCACTTGTCAACAGCACTGGAGTGAAAAATGATGTCTCTAGTCCATTATGTTTGCATAAAAAAAATGCATCACTCACAACTGTAAGTAAGTGAGTCATGTAGCTTGACAGAAATTAATTCAACGACACTTAGCTTTCACTGCATAAAATATATGTAGACACTGCACTTGTTGTTGGAGCTGTTAGAATTTATCTGTCCTTGGTGTGAAATTACAGGGTGCACATTGTTATATGTACATGTGCAAATTAGAAATATACTATAAATGCAACTATGCAGAAGCAGACTTATTGCACAGCTTTGTTTTGTGTCCAACATTACAAGGTTGGAGATCTTCTCTTTTTTGACAAAGGTCCTGAAGATGCAAACGAAACTCGATCCGGTGATAATCTTATTTGGCATCTCAGAAACATTGTTTACTCTCTTTTGCAATTGTTTGTGCAAAGAAACTGATTCTGCAGCATTGGAAGGGGGCAGAACTTCCGTCTTTCAGCCACTGGACAACTAACAGACACCCTCCACCTAGAGGAAATCACATATGTCTTGATAGACAGATTGGAGGAATATAAGATCTGGGGGGCCAATGATCACCTTTTTAAAGGGAAAGTAGACTATTGGTCACTCATACAGCGCTAACATGGAGTGTCATGGGGCAATACACCTCAGGGCTGGGAGGGAGGGCGGGTTTGTATGTCTGTTTTGTTATAAGGAAAAATCAAGGACGCCCCGATTTGCACAATTTGTTGTATATGTACTGGACTTTTTTTGCTTGTTTCCTAATAAAAATATTAAGAAGTAACTGTATAACAATCATGCTGCTAGAGCTTAAATATTTTGGTTGATTTAGGGGACATGAAGTGAGTACAACCCTGTTTAATATCACTTCAGTGTCAAATGTTTCAAAATGTAATCACCTCTCAATAAATACATTCTTTCTAAATTGAACAGTACGGTGCTTCTTCTCATGAACAATCAAAAAGAAATTCTTTAAAAAGACTATATTGGAAATACAGACTCCAAAGTAGAAACTGGAAAAAGAAATACGCTTCTGATTATTGACACATGTAAGAAATCCTGTCACCCTGAAAATAAACTGAGTGCACCTTTAATTGCCAGTCAGCCTCACTGCATGGACATGGTTATAAAACGCCCTGCAAACACGAGAACTTTCTCAGTTTTCACCGTATGGGCCGTGTCCATTTGTGTGTCTACATCATGGCTCCACATGGAAAAGAATTTCCAGAGCAAATGAGAAATCTGATTGTGAGGTGGAAGACAGAAAGAAGAAGGAAGATCAGTGATCAACTAAAAATCTGTTGAAGCAGGAGGATAAAAGTAAGCCAAAGCACCACTAATAAGAGCTACAGTGGTGATAAAACAGGGCCATGGGCGGTGCACTAATTGCACAATCAGCCTCGAAAAAATAGTTGTGCAAGTGCATCAGAACTGGCACAATGGAAATCAGGATATCTGTGACAACTCAGAGCAAAGCATCGACCTTTATGGAAGGCGTCCAAGAAAAAGCTGTTGCTCTCTCTTTGGCAAAAAAATAAAAAAAGCCAGATAAAACTTTAATAAATAATGTGAAATAAAGCCTGGTGAATATTGGGAGCACATTCTTTGATCACATGAGACCAAGAAATTCTCGTTTTTTTGGCTCAGATAAAGTCAAGCTGATGTGAACCAGGCCAAGACTCCCAAAGCAAATGCACAGTCCTGACAGTGAGGCAGTGGAGTGTGATAAAATGGGGCTGTATGATAAAATACAGACGATATTTATAGACGCACCACGAATGCCTGTAGATATACCAAAATACTGTCTGACAAGATGACTCCCAGCCTGCAGAAACTTGGCAGAAGAGGAATATTCCTGCTCTGTAACGATCCAAAGTACGCTGCCAAAACCACACAAGAGTTTCTGAAGAGGAAAAAAAAAGTGAAAACTACACTGGGCCAAGTGTGTCTCCTGACATAAATTCAATAGAACACCTTTGGGAATTTTAAAGAGAAGAGCAACGCAACTCCTCCGGCAAAGTGCAGTCTCTGAAGAAATTTGTGCAACACTGTTGTCCTCCGTGATGAAGGGATTGTCGGGCATCAAAAATAGGTTTCACTGACAAGGTGTGAAATTAGAAGGTGTAAATGTGTGGATGTACGTATGCAAACTAGCAAAGGACACAGAACGCAGCTGTTTGTTGTTTGTTTTATAGCTGATGGGCTGATAATGACATTTGATTTTCCAATTATTGGCATTTATGCTTGGATTTATTATGATGGAGTTGATCTTAACATTAGCTGATCGACTGGTTGGTTAACTGAAAATTTCAAACACTTCTTTTCTTTCAAACAAAGTCTGTGATTCTCAGATGGAAGGATTTTTTTTTGTTCACAGTTTTACATCCATGTAAAAAAAAAAACACCCGCAGACTGTCCTCACCCCCGCAGACTGTCCCCACCCCCAGACTGTCCTCACCCGCAGACTGTCCTCACCCCCAGACTGTCCCCCCCGCAGACTGTCCTCACCCGCAGACTGTCCTCACCCGCAGATTGTCCTCACCC